TTATATATATAATTTAATGGCTAACGCATATATATCTTTTAATCCTTTGCAGCACTGACAGGCCTGGGTGCCGCTCAGCAGAATAACTCGTCGCAGGACACAACGAACGCTGCTGCTGGTCTATTGAATCCGCTTTCTGTACAGAACTTGGCAGCCATTGCCGCCATGACGCAACCGAGCCTGACCAATGCGGCAACTTCGCCAGGCAGCGCACAGTTGACAAACACAGCGGCACTTTTATGTAAGTAGTCTACTAACACACACATATATAAACACTCACACACACACACACTTGGAAGAAACCCTTCACTAATCAGCTGAATTCGTTATTTTTAAACGGAATTGAGCTCCTCTAATTGCACCCCACTCAGAGAATGGATTTGTGTCCGACTTTTGACAGCTGCCAAGTAAAAATTTCCGTGGAAATATTTCCACTTGAGGCTCAATTCTTGCGCGCTTCGCTTTGAAGCCCTTTCCAACACTGTTTCTTTTTCGATTACCAATTATTTATGTTTCTACTCCCCTAATTTGTTGAGTTCCGTTTTTTGGTTTCTTGGTAATCGGTTTTAATGACTGGGCTGATTACATTCAGCGCTTCCTATTTTATTTTGTTGACAGTTGATATTGGTGTTTTCATGGTTTCATGGTTTATTTTTATAAAGAGTTAATGGGTTCTTGAATTTTTGATACATCTATATATAAATTGATTTCTTGGAATTACAGAACATTAATTTACTTTTCCCTCCGACCTCAGATAAATAAGCTTATTTTGCTTTTAATTATGGAATTTGAATTGGAAAGATTATTATTTCTTCTTCTTCTGGTTTGAACAGCTTCGAATATTCCCATAATTATTTCAGTTGAGTGAAGCCGATTAATTAATTTGTTGTGCTGCAAGCTAAAGCACCTTAGACTTAAAAAAAAAATACCATTACAACTAATATTTTATTCACTTATTCTTATCTTAACACGCTAACAAATTTATGTGGGATATATGTATGAACATATATACAGCAGCTCTGATACGAAAAAAGGCGGCTGCTAAAACAACAGGTGAGAGAGCTGTTTATCATGAAAACGTTTTTCTGTTGCCTGATTTTGACATACTTCAGTTACGCTTTTCGCTTGCCATTTTCGGTTGTGAACTTTTAGATTTTCTTTTTCTTATTTTTTTTACGTTTTTATCGTTATGCGAAATGAAAAAGAATCATATTAATAATGGTTATTTTACTTGACATTTAAAGCAAACGAAGCGTCACTTACGCTCTGCAGCGCTCACGTGGCTGCTGTTTTACGTCGTCGTTTACGTCACGCGCTGTAGTTGATGGCTGTAAAACAGCAGCAGCAGCAGCAGCAGCAGCAGCAGTTGCTGCAACAGCCAAGCGAGAAGCCGTAGAACGTGGAGCGTACAAAATTACAAGTTACACTCTCTTCAGAAATTAACAACACGGAACTTATTGCAACAGAGTAGCAGCAGCAGCAGGACTTGAGCGGGTAGTGGGGCGCATCAAGAACTTTGGCCTTATTGACTTTTAGCCGCGTTTCGCTTTAGAGCAAATTGCAATGCTTCAGCATCACTTGTGCAACTCCCCAGTTAAGAATTTGCTATCTGTCACGTGGCGCAGGCTTATAGACCAGACCAGACCAGAACAGACTCCACCAAACAGAGACAGACCGACAGTATAAAGCAGCAGTAACAGCTCCCTCAACACGGCAGCGCAATAAAAACGAATGTGGCTGCACTACAAGCTGCAGAAAGAATTATGGCCAACAACTGGGCCTGCATTTTTCAATGGACAGCCATGAAAATATGGCTCTTAAGAAAATGCTGGCCTAGACAGTTATAAAACCAATTAAGAATTGTTGCAATTGTAAGAGCTGACAGGCATTTTAAAATTTATTGTGTAGCTTCACTACAGGTGTATAAATGAATATAGAAAGTTGATATAAAGAATATAGAATATGGAATATTATTGTTTGTGGATCATTTATCATACAAGTGTAGAATGTGAGAGGAAGGGCAGAAAATATATTAAAATTATAAATGAATGTTTAATATTCGGCTGTAAGCATTCCATGGTTCGATTGATTGCTAGACAGATAAAACTAAAATCGATACGATAGACGGCTGTATTCATAAAAATAATAATACCAATTGCATAGTTGTCTTACTATCATGCTAGGTTCTAAACGTTCAATTTAAAAGATTAGTAATTAGCAGTAAACTAAACCTCTAAATGTGAGACAATTAAATCATATATATAGAATACTCGAACTATAACTGAAAAATGTAAAACACCTGAAATATAGTTCTAAATTAAGGAGCTAAAAATTATCTCAAGCTAAATGCTAACATTATCGATATTTATCGATAATAACACTGAAAAATCTTTAGCCCTAATTAGCAAATAATTTTCTATAGACCTTTGCTGCTCTCAATCTTTTGATAACAATTGAATATCGATAACAAGCTGTACTTGTTCCGTACCTCCCTTGAATTGTATTTGTAGTACTTTAAACCTCTTTGAACACAAAAATGTCATTAGCCATTCGCTTGCTCTCCACAATTTCGTTCGCTTATCGCATTTGCTTTTGGCTTGAGAAGCTGCCTGACGCAGCTATTGTTAAATTTTTTAATACGAAACAAGAAAACCCCGAAAGAGGAAATCCCAGCCCAATTCCAATCCCTTACCCACTTCCACTTGGCAATGCTGGCCAACCGAATTTAGCTGGCTAAGCTGCGCATTACCAAGTTAATTTCATGAGCAGCTACGAACCGTGAAAGGAAAAAAGTGCCTGACTTAACCAGAGAAATGCCAACAAAACAACACATACACACACACACACACACTCACACAAACGGAGGGATATTTAAGCGGATTTTTCGTGTCTGCCTAAACTACAAATACAGTTCTGTTTGCTCAGCCACGCCCCTTGCGCTGCTGTGCACTTGTGCGTGCTCATTGTGTGCCACTTGAACGATTTCCAAGGCACTTAATTTAATGAAATATTAAAAATTCTTGTCGAGCGTCGGTCGAGAAGGCAGCAAAATCTTAAGTTTCTAGTTCTTGGGATGCGCCTACGCGCCTTGGAGAGTTGCTCCACTACTTCTCCACAATCTTATGCGCAGCATCAACTCAACTTCTGCTTTGCCATAAATGAGGCAAGTAATGTAATGTACAAGAAAATTTGGTAGATTTTTTTTTTTTTCCTTTGCAACCAACTGCAACATAAACTCGACATGAAAATCACATTTTTCTGTTGCTGCTCTAGTCTTTATATGAGACTGGCGTTGTTGTTGTTGTTGTTTCGATGTGTGTCTGTATAAAATTGTTTTGTTGTTGTAATAAAGTGGCCAAACAAATTGTGCCCGAGGCTTTTGTTTGCTGCAAATTGTTTATGGCAAACGCAAACGCAACGCAAAACTCGTTGCAAAATATCAATATGTGCGCACAGATTGGCTCATAATTGTTGCCAGCTCTCGTACTGTGTGTATGTGTGCGTCTGTGTACCATGTGTATGTGTAAGTGTGCTTGTTTGGCTGTGTGCAAATTGGTATTGTACAGTTTTAGGCGCACATTGCGATAGCATCGATAAATGGGTGAAAATTTGTGTTTGTGTGTGTGTAGATTGACAATTGAAGTTTGTGTAATTGGTAGATAGCCGAAAATATTGATAACGCTTGCAATATTGATTTTAGAATGAAAGTCTATAGATATTTTTGCAGCTGAAAATAGGAATATGTAGAGAGAGAGAGAGGGGATATACGGAAACAAGTGTAATGTTGTTGATAGAGATATATGTGGGTACATATTGGATATATAATGTCTACTGTTCCTAAAGAGGAAAGCGATAAAAACGAATTACAATATTGTATTGCCGTCAGAACAATAGTTACCAACTCAGCGTTAAGCAATTGACTGGCTACATGAAATAAAGTGTGAATTTCATATTCGATTTCGAACGGACTGAAAGGCAAACAGAGGTCATTGAAGGTAAATGACAACGACAAATTCAAAAGCGAAAATCAACTTCACGTCACGTTAAGGGATATCAAAATATATATTTAAATTGAAAACAAACTCTAATATCACTAAAGTATATAATTAATACTAAATAACTTAAGTATGCAGCATATTTGACGAATCAAAAATTAACTATTCAGCTGGTTTACCTTGCCCCTTCTTCAACCCTTTCACGTTGTATTCAAGTTTTAACCGTGAGCTTAATCCGTTTTTCGGTGCAACAGCAACATTTTCAACACGCGCCATCGTTGGTCTTTATTAACCATTATCCTAACCCCACCAAAGAAACCCCATCAAAACAATGGAATCTAACAAAATCCCGCTACAATCTCAAGCGCAACCAATTCAAAGTTTTTCTTTTTTTATTATTTTTTTTTTTTTTTGGCAAACGAAATAGAAACAAAAAGTTGAAAAGAGAAAACAAAATCAAAAGGGAAAAGCAACAATCGAAAATCTTAATCAAAGTTTTGTAAAGTGCTGTAAACTATGTAGTTTATAAACCCTCAGCTGCTGCATACAGTTTCATTTTTCTTCCTCTTTTTTTCATTTGGGGGAGAGTTCCGTTTCCTGCCCACTCCCGTGCCTCCCTCTGCTAACAAACACGTTTTCAGCTCTGTTCTCAACATGGCTCTCCATTACGTTTGTTTATACGCTTTTTCGCTCTTTGCACTTCAAAATCAAAAGCAGCAGCAGCAGCAACAACAACAACAACAGCAGCTGCCAAAAGTCTTGAAGTGCCTGCAAGTGGCAAAGTCTTTGGCCAACAACAGAAATAACACAAATAACAAATAAATGCAAAAAAAAAAGATAAAGTTCCAGAAAAATATACAAAAACTTGCCTCAAATTTTGCACAAATTTGCCAGCTAAAAAGTCTAACATGCATAGGGCGGAGGAGGGGGCCAAGCAGGCAAACAAAAATACCAAATAGTTGTTGCCTTCATCTGTGTGCGCGTGTGTGTGAATTTGTTATGCCTGCTTTGTTATTATTGGCCTGGTCAAGAGCTTTGGCATTAGCCCTTAGCCATAACATGTTGCATACAATATTTAGCCTACTGTTTGCAGGAGGGGAGGGAGAATCGTCGCAACAACAAACAATTAAAACAATTTCTTCAATTTCTTGGCAAATATGCAAAACTTCTTTGAAATTAGAGAGCTTTTGCCTCTACATATGCCTGTATTTTATTTATTTTTTTGTTAGTTTAATACTCTGTTTTTAATAGGATGAAGGCGGAATATTGACTTAGGCATTATATATAATTTTAAAAAAATTCATGTCGAAAACTAGTCGAATGGAGCTTATAGTCGCATAGGTTTACCATCTATCCTTGTTTGGGTATTTGTTTCTGTTTATTATTTCTATGTGTAGAAAAATGTTACTATAAATATATAAATTCTACATGAATATAACAATTTATATTTAATCAAYGAAAATGTAGAATTAAAAGTATACTTATTTATATTTATATTTATATATGTTTCAAGGTAAATAACTTAAGCTTTACAGGCATTTCATATACTTTTAAAGTGACAGCTTCAACCCAGTTACTGTTTGAACCTCAGTTTCAATATCTCATTTTAAGAAGACATATTTGAGAATTCTACTTTTAGTTAAGATATATAAATCAAACACTCACTGAATATAAATGCAATCTCGGTCTCAGCCAGAGTATTTAGCAGTCGATTCTTTTTTTTTTTTTTTTGCTCAGCAACATTATTACCTGTGTATTGTTTATGCCACACACACACACGCACTCACACACAGAGAAAAGTTGCCAAGACTTTGCTCTTCACATTTCAAGCTGTTAAATTAAAAATGGGCTAGCTGCCTCGTCCCAACCCCCTTGGACAATTGATTGCAACACCTAAGGGGGAGTGCATAAGGTGGGCGTGACAATTGAGCGACGTGGGCTGATTTCTGGGAGGTTATGTTGCTACTCCTGCAGCACATGGGTAAAAACTTTTGAAATTAAATCTGTAAAATCTCACAAAAGTTTGGTAGTGCGCGTATGTGTGTGTGTGTGTGTGTGTGAGTGTGTTTGTAGCAGTTCAGTTCTTTGAAGAAGTTTTCGTATAATTTTATATGGCACAGAAATAATTTTAACTTGACTGAAAATGCAAAGTTTTTGCCCTCTGTCGCTGGCCATTTCTCCCGCTCTCTCACTCTCTCTCTCTCTCTCTCGCTATCTCATACTGTTTTTGGTCTGGCTATAACTCGATAGTCGCCATGACGAACTGACATCATATTTTGTTATTAGCCAAATTAGTTATCAAATGCACTAGACGCTCATTGTCAACATGCAACGACCAGCCACACACACACATATATACACACGCGCAGTTGCAAAACTCATTAATAACAACCTGCAGGGAGAGAGAGAGAGAGAGAGAGAGAGAAGCTGGGAAAGAGAAGTATTCGCGCAGCTGAAAACCGCAAAATTGCATTGCATGACGGCGGGCGACGCAAAACAACTAAATAACAAACAACAGGCGTCAAATTACACAAAACACAAACCAGACATTGCACACACACATACACAGCCACAGCCACAGCCTCACACACACACACACGTGAATGTGCATGCCACACATGGCGTATGAACAACAAATTAAATTTAGATTTATATAGAAAATGCAGCATACACACACAAACATACATACAACTAATTGTAAATATTATTGTGTTTTGTGTTAAATATAATCAAATGTTGCCCTCGCGGCGTGTCATGCTCAATGATTAATTACGTCTGGCAGCGGAGAGAGGTTGAATGAACAACTACTGCAGGGCAAAACTAGATATGATAATAGTAATAATAATAATAATATGATTAACTACTTAGCTGACATATAAAGGTAGAGAAGAATTGGAAAAGTGAATAGTGTAGAGGAAGGCAGCTAGAAGTAAAGTGAATAGGATAGAGCTGATTGAGTGCAATATATTTGTAAATATAACTAAATATAAATAATTAATTTATTTAGATTTAAATTTGTCAACTTGATGTTGAATGCACAGGATTTTTAAATAGAGAACCATAGAGATAAGTGAGGAACTTGCCCATCCTTGCCCATCCACTCCTTAAACGTATCAGATCCTTTAAATGAAATGAATGAATGACTTTTATAGCAGCTTAATATACAAGTCCAACAGGCTGACTGACACTTTGATATAAACGTTTTATTGGAAACCGCCAGCTAAATCTGGCTCATGCACACTCAAACCCAAACACACACACACATCTCACTCGACGCACAAAATTTGGAAGCAGCGCGATTTTAATTTCGTTATATAATTTTTGGTTTTCCAAAATGTAATTTACTTTGGGCTGCAGCAGCTCAACACGCAACTGATACTGATGTCTGTGTATCTACATATATTTATATGTGTATGTGTCTTTTTTTATTGCAGGGTCTGATCCAAATCCATTGGCATCGGCGTATATGTCAACAGCCGCTGGTTTACCGCAATTTGGAAACACCACCGCACTGTCCACCTCACCGTTGGCCAGCGTTGCGCTGAGCGCCGCTGCGGCCGCTGCTGCGGGCAAGCAGATTGAAGGTGAGTAATTGGGGGGAACGGGGTGGGAAAGGGGAAGGTGGCGGGTAGGGGCTCGTGGTAGAAGGGGAGAGGAGAGAGTTGCATTTGGGGAATATGAATTGGGTTCATTGGGGAGTTTGGTTTGAAGCTCTCGCTGCACACAAATAGAAATGTCTAAATGCCAGGCATTTTGATAAATGCTCTAAAATGTCCGACTGCGGTTCTGTCAGTCAGTCAGTCAGTCAGTCAGTCATGACGGACAGTCAGTCGCTCCCTCTGGCATTACATAAAACTAAATGTTGCCGTTTTTGCTGCCATATTTGCCGCTGATGCTACTATTCCTGCTACTGCTGCTGCTGCTGCTGCTGGTGTTGCAACATCAAATGCATTAACCCGCTCATCGCTGTCAGCGTCATTCGCATTCGCATCTATTTTGCGGTTTCGCTCGCTGCCTTTGTGCCTGTCATGCAGCCCGTTTGGTTGTCAATCTACTTAGTTATTTGCTGCTGGATTAATCTTTCATTAGTCTGTATGTGGGTGGATGTGGGTGTGGGTGAGTGGATGTGGATGTGGATGTCGATGTGGATAAATGTGTGTGAACTACTGGGTGTACTTTCTGTGTTGCGGTGGGTGAAAAGGCAGCTGTTATGCAACTTGTGTTTCTCTGAATGCAAAGCAAGCACGTAACGCAGATTCTTATGTGCTTTGACAGCAGTTATTGAAGTGTGGAGTAAAGAGAGGTTAAAAACAACTTTATGAAAGTTAAGGAACTCAGATTAGATCACTTTAGTAGCAGAAAAGCATTCTTATATTAGTATAATTGTATCAAATTACAAATATTGAATGGTTAAAATATATAAGTTGCTCCCTATCAAATGATATAATCGAAAAAAAGCTATACAATTCTGTATTCATGCTATAAGCATATCAGGCTGTAATCCTTTTTTCAATTTTGAATACGTATGGAATAGATTTGCTTCATTGTCTTTGTCTCACAGTCAAAATGAAAAAATTCTCTTACAAATGAGCCCAGAGATTTGGTCATCCTACATGAATATTGAGGCCGAAGCAAGCAATTCCATACAACTCTGCAAAAATCAAAGCTGTCTGGATAGGCTGCTTGCATATGCACGAGCAAATAACTTTCAATTGCACAAAATCCAAAAATGAACTTCCCATCGAAAGCAACTAGAACAAAAGGAGAGAGAGAAAGAAAGAGAGAGCGAAAAGCCCTATATAACAGAACATCGTCTCCTTTTCAATTCACATTTTCGATTGGCAAAAGCAGATTTAAGGCTGTTTGCTGATACAAATCCTTATTCGCTTTTCAACTCCAAAGTGTTGGAGAAGATAGGAAAAATCAATAGGATCAATCAACTTAGACATTTTCCAACACATACACACACACACATTAAGTAATGCGAATTTATATGAACGGCATTTTGCTGCAGCTTAAATTTTTATCAGCTTTTGACACAGTGTAAATATTACACACTTGACACACAATTCCATTAGTCAGACGTGAATGTCGATATCAGAAAATATTGCAATGTGTTCGACACCACCCTCTAAGCACACGTACACACACACACACACTCACACACACACACATACACGCTCTCTGACACCCACACACAGATCAACTGCAGCGGCAACAGCGAATTGCGCTTTGGCACACATAACATTAAAGTTGCATGTGATATGCGGAAAAGGGGGGGTGGAGCTGCGCTGCTAGGGTAGGTATGTGAGAGTGGATAGACGGGGTAAGGGCAGTCACTGCTAAGCAGATAGCAAAAACGAAGACGAAGACGATGACGACGCTGATGCTGATGCTGATGCCGCTGCTAATGCCACTGCTGCTGCTCGGGGAAAATGCAACGGAAAATGTTTTGGCGTTGCACTTTTTGCCATATTTCCGGTTACATAAGCAACAGTCGTCAGAATGTGAGACGTGAGTGAAAGAGACAGGAAAGTTGAGAGAGAGACAGACTGAGTGAGTGCACGAGGGGCAGAGGTCGCTTGGCTTGGCGTCTGGCGGCATTCACCATGCCAAATAAAATATATACGATGAATATACATATACATATGTATGTATATGTTATATTGATATGTATATGTATGTGAGCTATATGTATATGTATATATTTTTGCAGTTGACTGACTTTTGTGGATGCCGCCGCCGCTGCTGCTGCTGCTGCTGCTGCTGCGTCTTCATCTCTCTTTCTCTGTTTGTGTACGCGTCTGTGTGACTTGTTTGCTTTGCTGACTCATGATGTTGCCCGAAAAATTCCCTCGTGGCCAACAAAAATACACAACAAGCGCAGCACACATACAGAGAGACATGACTGGAGCATCAGTCGTCCACATTCAAACAAATTGCGCATGTTATGCGACATGCGAGCTGCCATGTTTACGCCCCCTGCACATGCTGCCCACCTCATGCCTCATATGACCCCCCTCTATGCTCTCTATACACTTGACTGCATTTTGGACTAAACTACTCGAGCATTATATCTATGTATATATACTTTTTTTTTTTTTTTTTGCCCCTGATCCCATAAAGTGGGCAAAAAGTTGGACTTGCGGGGATAATTAGTCTCATATTAGTTTTTCAGCAGGTGGGAAAGCGTTGTCGGTATGCGCATGTGTGTGTGTGCGTATCACAAAGCGGAAATTAATTGAGTTAGAGTTTAGTTTTGGGCTATTGATTTAGCATTATCTATTATAGATTAGATATGGGAAAACTTTTAGGTTTTATGTTTGCATATTGTCATTAATATCTTTATTATGTACATAAAGTTTCAAATTATGGCATTTAGAAAGAGATTATGCAAAGAAATTGTTGTAGATTATCGTAAATATATTTAGTATGTAGGCGAAGCTTCAATTGATGAAGGACACTCAGAATTCTTGATATTTCAAAGAAAATCTTTTACTAAAATTTGTGCTCTTAAGATTTTTGTAATCATGCTCCTCGTGTATTCAATACTTACGAGTATATGCTATAATTCATGTATTTCAAATTTCTTTCTGGTGAGTCCAGAGAGCGTTTTAGCTTAGCTTAAATAAAAATTTACCGACTTTAAAAGGATATTAAAACTGAGTTGTTGTTTTTTTTTTTTTTTGCATACGATTCATTAACGTGAGGTAACAAATTTATAAATTTACACTGAACTGATCATTTTCTCCATTGGCCTGCATTAAATAATAAAATTAATATATATATTTTATTAAAGTTTATCTTGCGCAAATCGCCTGTCATTAGCTCAAGCATATTTTCATTACTTAACTGGTTCATCCAGCTTCTTACGTATGCTACGTTATGATTGTTTCTCTGCTTCTGCTTTGCTATGTTTACTTTATCGTTTGCATGCTTCTAATTTGTATCTCTTGAATTATTTACGCTCGCCTGATTCTCTATAAAGTTAAGCAGCTTGTTAACTGCTGCATGCATTATAACGTCGAGTCTTTGGCTTAAAAATGTAGTCGACTCGGTATCATTATCATTACGTTGGGCGCATTATTCCCCAATGCAACTCGCTGCAAGCCGCAGAAAAACCCGCTACAAAATATAGAATAAAAAAAACCTTTATATATGTAACAAATTTCGCCACAGCAGTTTTTCTTCTTCTCCTTTTTACCCACATATACGAATAAACATCCTGTTTTGTTTTTGTTGTGTTGTGTTGTGTTGGGTGTGAATGTGTGTGTGTGTGCTAGTGTGTGGCGGTAGTTTTATGTGTGTGCGAAAAACGATTTCCTATATTGCATTTTCCTCTTCCGCTGAGCAAAGATGCCGCATCCGTTTCGAGTTCTTGTCTCCATGTCTACTCCAGCTTGTGCTTCCTATTGATGCACACACAGTCACACACTAGATATATGTGTATATATATGGAGTATATATATCCTTATGCCCCCGCTTTCTACTGCTAACATGTTTGCTAACAAGCAGAAGGCCAAGCATTTTTTTCCATTTTCTCTTTTTTTTTTGCAAATTTTTTTATTTTTTGCCCGCGTTTCAATTCGGTTCTCAAGGGCATGGCCCAGCCAAATGGAATTTATATGGCAGCATAACATCTGGCTGCATACAGTTTTATTGATTTTATTGCCATGCACACACACAGATACACATATACACTAACGCTTGCACTGGTTGAGAAATGTTGCTCCAGATCCTAGAAGATTCAAGTGGAATTCAATGTCTTTTCAAATATTGTCACTTAGATAATTATAACTAAATTTATCTTTAAGAAATACTTATAAATATTTATGCATTCTTATGTGAAATGTGAAAATATGAATAGCTAAAGAGAGAGTTTGCCTTGTTGTTCTTGAGAAAATCAAAAAAGAAGAATTCTTGCAAAAGAAACCAAAAAAATGTTGCTTGCTCTTGGTTAAATTTATATGTTTTATTTAAAAATTTTTTATTAGTATTTCTGTGTATATTTCTCTCAGTGTATATTTTAGCTTGCTCACTATGTCCTATGCCTATGCTCATAATCACTCACTGTGTGGCATTCGACTGGACAATCCGCAGTTAAACTCAAGCTTGTAGCAAATCTTTCTCTCTCTCCTGCTTCCTCTCACAGTTTATGTGGTGTGTGTGTGTGTGCCGTGGATGCCTGTACTTGCTTATTTTATATTCCAACTTCCGGCTTATGCACATGACTTTAAGCCGGCTGCATCCGTTTGGGGGTTTGTCTTGCTGTTGCCATCTTTTACGCCCTCTCGGGGCAACCCACCACCCCCGCTTGGCGCCCTCCTCTGCCAGTGTCATATTCGGCTGTCTTTTGCAACGGCCTCGCATTTAAAGCATATTTATTTACTACATGAACTAGCTGTACTCACTACCCACTGCTTTAGCCGGTTAGTTGCAGCATTTTATTTTATTTTGTATTTTTCTTATTTTTATTTCTCTCACATCCTTTTGCACGCTTCCTGCTTAATTTTGCGCCTGTCGTCTGCGCCTGTCTACATGCTTATAACTTGTTTCCTGTTGTTGTTACTCCGTTACTGTTGCTTCTTCTGCCCGTGCTGCTTCCCCTTCTGCTATTCTTTTTTGTTGCCGCTACTCGTGCTACTGCTGCTGCTTCTGCTGCTTATGCTCATGTCGTCATTTGATAAATTCCACATGCTGAGAATTTATCTGCCCCCAGACATTGTTGTGCCACCCGCAGCTGCATTTGCCGTCTCCACACACAGATTGCACAAATCTGCAGCATTTATTTATGTACTTTTTTTTTTTCTTGTCTAGCCTTAACTTCGATTTCAGATTTTTCCAACTATGAAAAATGTTGGAAAAATCTTGTTGATATCGTTGTTGCCAGAGCTGCAAAAGAAAGCGTTCAAATGCATTAGGGTTAGGTTGTTGCAACAGGCAGTTAGATGCGAGCAAATATATAGTACTTAAGAAACTATATGCTGATGCACTTGATATCTAAAATTAAATCGAATTTAAGCTGATTTATAAATTCAATAGATGCCAAGTTCGACAATTTCAGTTAAATAACATTAAAACCTTAATATTGGTCCACAAATTCCCCATAAAATTTAAATTCCTTTGGATTCCGCGCTCACAAAAGTATGCTATAAAAAGTTAATTTTATATCTTTCTCGGTATATTGACAGTAGCCAAGCTCTAACTTTTGTCGTCGTCGCCATCGTCGCCCTAGCGACAAATTGAAGCTTTTGCTAATTATGTATTTCTGCTCTGTTTTCGGAGCAGTGAATTTTCTTTTTTTGTATCATTCCACTTGAGGCTCACACGTGTCGCTCATTAGTCGCTTAATTCAATGAGGAGCAAGCGGAACATTTTTAAGCGTTACTTAGCACTCTTTAATTAACTAACAACAAAAGCCAAGTCAGTGTGTATCAAATTAATTGCAGAGTGTGTGCAAAATAGCAAAGCAACAGCGTACACACACACACACACACACGCATGCACACGTTTACAGACAAGCGAAGTCAATTAATGCATGTAGAGCAGCATTTGCATGGGCATATCTGCAGGCCATATAATGGGAACAATGAGCAAACCCTGGCCCACACCTATGCCCAGCTGGGGTTGGGGCGGGTGCGAACGCCTCTTAATTTGTGCGTTCATTTTATAATCGCATCAGTCACTCACTTGAGCTGTGGCTCGTCAATGGGCGGCCGAAAGCGAAGTCCTTTGATTTGTGCCTGGAAATTCAATCAAACTAAACGGAGTAGGCATTCGGGCGTTTGGGGTGTGGCACGTAGGGCTTGGCATGTGCATGATGCACTGCTACTCGCGACAAAGATGACAAAAGATGTATCTATGTTATTAATAGTGCTGCTGGCAAACGATGATGAAGTTGACAAGCTCAACAGCAACAGCAACAACAATAACAGCAACAACAATACCAACGACAACAAGAGCAGCTAGGATATGGAGGAGGCATACAAAGTTATTTGATTACAATGCGCCATTCTCTATGGGCATTGTGGGCGTGGCACATGCATCAAGTCGGCATGTACATAAATTGCAAATTGTTGTTGTTGTTGTTGTTGCTGTAGCTGTTGTTATTATCCTTGGCCATGCATTTATGATAGCGTTGATGTGCAGGCTTTGCAGATTAATTACGTATACGACACGGGTGCCGAACGTGGTGGGGGCAGTGCATCCAAACTCTACAATAGCACAAAGCCAGCTAAAGAAATTTTCAATAGCTATTGTTTAAAGATTTAAATTAAGACGATTACCTTAATTGATAGAGATGGATAGATGGTAAACGAGAAGCCTTTGGTAATACTTTAATAATTAAATGATAGGTATAACATATAATAATTACGAATTTATATTATTGAAAGCAATCCACAAGAGCAAAGACTGATTTTTTTTTTTTTTTTTTTTTTTTGTAAATTGAAATTTTGACAAAACATGTTAAATGAGGAGATTATGGCTAAAATTTAATACTGAAATGTTAGGATAGTGAAAGATTATTTATAGATGGCATGTCCATTATATTAATAGGTAGACGCGAAAGCAAATCAAATTTAATTTTGTTAATGATTTTTTCAGTTGTACAAAGCTTCAGAAAATTACCAAAATTTATAATACTTATACTTTATATTTTATGGAATGAGGATTCATTTATATTAGCTAGGCATATATTGCAGAAGCGAAGGTTCTGTTTTATTTTAGTTTACAGCTTCATTAAGAATTTCTATCCTATGAAAGTATACACATACATACATATATCGATTATATCTATTTTTCGTTACTTAATTAATATTGGAAATTTTAGGAAAGCTGAAGTAAAATTTTTATGATTAGAGCACAGAAGCAAGAGAAATATAATTCCACTGAAATTTAGCTAATCTTAGTTTTTCTATATATGAAAAGTTTTAATGTTATCCCAAGTTGTAATATCAAGTTGGTTAGCAGAATAATATATATGCTTATATATTTTCAAAAGTCATTGCCGATCTTAACTGCAGCTTCTTAACAAATTGTTTGGCTATTAGCGGAAGTAATGTGCCCTGGCAAATTGACAGACCTCAAAATGTCAGCTGCCAACTGCTACTTAAAGCGTCATTAAAAGCAGCTCGAAAGTGAAAACCTAATGGCAGCACCTACAACAACAACAAAAACAGCAACAAGGAGACTTTCTACTGCTACTGCTACTGCAACTACTGGCTGCTGTTTGGCTGGCTGGCTGCTGCGGACATTGACAGTAATTTGCACGAAAAGTGCAAACCGCAGCAGGACGAAGCCGTTGACGAGAGCGCAGCTGTTAATATGCGATGCCAGCGACAGTTGGCGGCACGTGCTGCTAAACAAAATGTGACACGCCTCCACACACACACACACATACACCCTCACATACTCACTCTCACACAGCCGAGCACTTGGGCGCATCATTTCCGCATCCGCTTTGGCAATCAGCCTCTCCGCCCGCTGCCCTTCGTGCTGGCCTCGTCTTGCCCACTGAGTACATATAATTTTAGCTTTTGTCTGCTCAAATTTCAGCTCATTTGAGCATCTGTCATTATGCCAGAACTTTACGTTTGTGTGTGTATGTGTAAAGGGAGGGGACTGGCATGTGTGTGTGTGGACAGTCAGACGTGTGTAAGGTAAATTAATTGCTCATTGCAAAGATAAGACCCTGAGATGAAGACCCCTAAAAACGACTGTTGATTGGGCCAGTGGACAAGAGATGAAATGGCCTTAAGTTGGGACTAGATAAAGTGCCAAATTAGACGTGCCTGAGGCTGACAGTTATTGCATTCCATATATTTGTGTGTGCTTACTCAGGTGTATTAAGAGTTTGCTTTGCAGAAAACTTGTAATGAGAAGATATTAAAATATATAGAATTTTGAATGGGATAAAAAAGGAGGATAATATTTATTATGTTTAAAGACAAAAGTTATAAAATATTCAAATAGTCATTTGCTCATTGCCTTTATACTTTATATTTCTTCCAGGTCCTGAAGGCTGCAATCTGTTTATCTATCACTTGCCACAGGAGTTTACCGACACCGATTTGGCTTCAACTTTCTTGCCATTTGGGAACGTTATCTCGGCAAAGGTGTTCATTGATAAGCAGACGAGTCTCTCGAAATGTTTCGGTTTCGTTTCCTTCGATAATCCGGAGTCGGCACAGATGGCCATTAAGTCAATGAACGGCTTTCAGGTGGGCACGAAGCGTTTGAAGGTCCAACTGAAGAAGCCCAAGGATGCATCCAAACCGTACTAGGAAAAAGAAAAGCGTGAGCGCTTCAATATGAACAGAGGAGAAGATTTAAAAAAGAGAGTGTGGGAGAGTCAGAGAAAACCTAGAATGGAGAAGAATCCAGCTGCAAGAACAAACTTAACAAACTTATATTAACAACAACAACTATAGCTAAAAGAGCAACAATAAGAAATGTTTACCCTTGAACAAATATACCAACTCGAACTAAATTGTCAAATGGAGTAGTCCAATGAAGAGTTACCCGTGTGGAGCGCGCGCGTTTAAAGTAAACCAAAAAGTCAAGAACCCTACGTTGTACGTATACCCTATGAAAAATCTAAACGAAAAATTATAAAAAAAAAAAAAAAAAAATTAAAAAAAAAATCAATTAAAAAGACATGAATTTGTGCCAAAAAAAAGAGACAGCAAATATATATTTTGCTCGTTAAATGTTGAAGTCGAACAAAAAAAAAAATAAAAAAAACCTCCTACACCTAGAGATACCCTATAATTTTAGTGCCTTACCTTAGCGTTTAGTTCTGTCGATACACTTTCTGTTTGTTACGCTTTGAAGTTATTTTCGCAACAAATTTAACGACACATTTCAAAACCGATATTTTTTAAGCTGTTGTCGCACAGTTAAAACATATTTTAACAATTCATTTTTTTGTACACTCTCTTTTTTTTCTATTTCGAAAATNAAAATATATAATTATATATTGGTTACTTTGTTTTGTTAAATGGATTATCTTTTTATATGCAAATGCGTATATGAATATTTTAGTTTTTAATGCCAAACTGAATTGTTAAAACAAAGAAAATTATCCAACATTTTTTATTTGTACTGAATGGAAAAATACAATGTTTTTGTTATACTTAATTATCCTTACTCAAACATTATTATTATATATTTCGTTTAGCTTTAATTTTTATTTACTGAGCTACAAAATTGTTTAGTGTTAATGTGAGAGAATAAAAAATACAATATATATATTTTTTTTATAATTTCAGCGACTAAATTTTTTTTTTTTAGAATTATTTTATTTTTATTCACTTATTATTATTAAAGCAAACCCACTCCTCTTTCGATCAGTGTATTTTTTCTGTACTCATTTCAAAATGTTTCCATTTTCATCATGTTTAGATTTTTTTCATGCATTAAACATTTTGTAGTTGAATTGAGTAAATTTATATATTTTGCATTAGTTTATGTAGAGCATAGTTTTGTTTATGTAAAATATTTACACACTTACACTATACACACACATATACACATAATACATGCTTATTTAAATATACAAATAAAGTTTTGTTTTCTGTTTCAAAATGCACATGAACGCAATTTAGTGTCTTTATTTGTTAATCTGATGTAAATCACATAAATATTTATTGTTCGTATTAATGATTGTATTTTATTCTCTGTCCTATTTAGAATCTAAGTAAACGTTTCTTCGAGTTGCCCTAGAATATGACTAATTTAAACCAAATTATTTCGAAGGCCAAGTAAAGTGATGCTGCTAACGAGTCAAAAGGTGAGCGCCAAAAAAAAAATAAAATAAATGTATATATTCAATTCAAATTTTATATATATTTCTTTTCTTTCAGTTGTTTGCCGTCGTTCTGTATAGCACTTTAGTCCCATTTATATTGTACATACTATGCTGCCCATCAAATTGCTGTCATACATAGAAATTCGCAACAAGTGTAAATTTTTATAGCCTTGTACACAAAAACCGTTTGTAAAAAAAAAAAAAAAAAACAAAACAAAAAAACAAAAAGTACCACACACACACACACAAAAACGAAAAAAAAAAAGTTGAACAATGAGCATGAAAAACACATCAGACAACACCTTATATAGAGGATAATTGTAAGATAGCGCAGCATTATGCCATTTTAATAAAGCTTGCAAAGCAAAAACTTTTATNAAAAAAAAAAAAAAAAAAATAACATGAAGAAAAAGAAACAAACAAAATAAGAAATACTGAGAAGACGTGACGTGAAAAATAATATAAATCTAGCATAAATTATGTGTTATGATTTGTTTACAATTTTGTAGCAATACAAAAAAGCATTGACAAATCAAAGTTTTGGAATACCAATTGAAGTGAGTTGCCATACCATTCGCATTAGAGCTGCCACCTAATCACCTGGCAAGCTTTAAAGCCAATTGAGTCACTGAAATAATATTCGGGCTTCTTAGGTAGCATACTATTATTTCTATGACGTATATTTACATATATGGCTGCAATATTTATTTAGCTAATTTATTTCATCAAGCATTGTAGTAATTAGTTAATTATATATATTATATAAAAAGCTATAGGTGTAACTCTAACTGTGTGCATTTTGTGTAACTATCTGAATGTGGCTTTAAATTTAAAAAGGAAAAAGCAAAATGCTTTTTTTTTCAGTGGCATTTGAAACGCATATAAATTGTAGTTAAAGATTAAGCGTTTTTGTCGTTGTGTAATTAATTGTAATTAACTAGAAATTGTAAGTGTAATTTTTTAGAGAAACAAAGCAAGGCTGTGTGTGTTCTAATTGATTAAATGTAAGTCTATATAAAAGTATGTGCGCAAAATAAAACAACAAAAACAAATAATTATAATAATAATTTGCTGACTTCGATTTAAGCGATGTAAATCGAAAGCGAGAACGTAAAAATCTAGTGATAAAACGCAGTTAGTTAAGTGGATAAATATATATATATATAGATGTATATATGCATTATTGTATATTGATGTATAAATCAAACTCACACACACACACACACACACACATCATCTCACAACAACTAAAATCAATAAAAAGGTGTCATGAATTTTTTATATTAAATACCAAAAAAAAAAAAAAAAAAAACGAATTATTTTCTAGCTGAATCGGTTTGCTGCCAGATAAATCTAGATTTGGCAGCTGCTTACGCTAGTCTAGCGCAATTTATCAAATTCTTTGGTTAGTTGAGAAACTTTTTAGCTAACTTTTGCACTGCCAAAAAACATACACGTATTTTGTATGTGTGTGTGTCTACATAATGTTGACGAGCAACTAAGGAAAACTTCAACAATAAACGAAATATTTTGCTAAACTTGCGATTTGCATATGAAAAAGTTTATGCCAATTGTAGACGTAGGCGAGGGAGAAGGTGTCTATATGCAGTGGGAGCTACGAGGCGTATATTGCCCGACGACGGCAACATGTAAACAAATTTACCAACTACGTGACGCAGCAGTGCCCCAAGAAATGCCAACGAATTGAGATCCATCTGCATACAGCATCCATCCATTCACTTGCCGTCTACAGCTCTGGTTGGATGTGTGTGTGTGTGTGTGTGTGTGTGTGTGTGTGTGAGCCAGACGTATCCACCGTCGTTGCATAATCCAAATCCAAAGTCGAATCTTAACGCAAGATTTATTTCCATTTAAATCATGCGTGGAAAAGTTTGCTGCTGCTGCTGCTGTTGTTGGCAGCAAAAGGCAAAAATCTAACGTATGAGGGCCTTGGGAGTTGCCACTCACAGATAGGATTGCAGCAAGGGGGGCATAGAGGCACAGCACACGGTATTAATTTTGTCTTGGCATATTCAAATATTTTGGCTTTTGATTACGACAAAAGTTTTTGGCATTTTTGCCATGCTTAGTTCGACAACAACAACAACAACAGAGGTACCCGAAGGACTAGCTCTTATCCTGTCAAATGAATTATTTTTTCGGCTTCAGATAAGCGTTAAATGCACACAAGATAAAACCGATGAAGAAGCAGAACTATTAAATCATGGTGAGCAGACAAAAATTCAAGTTGATTTTTTGCCTCCGACCAAAGCCGAAAAACCCTTGCTGGTGTCTGTATGCCAATCGCTGTATATCGAATAATCGAAAATTGTAAGTGACGGGCGTGGCTGGTATTTTATTTATTGATAGAAATTAATTTTATATGCTGCTGGTGAGTAAGATTTTATGGGAATTTTTGGGATTTGGGTTCGCATAATTTAAGTTGCTCGAATGGTAAAACATAATGTCCTACAAGAATTTAAGACAATATGTATATGTATCAAGAATTTACAACTTGTGACTTCTTCATTCGTAGAATAACCAATTACAGTACAACTGATGGGGTTTGATTTTAATTTAACAATACCTTTGCTCTGTTCACAGTGAGTGAACACAAAGAGAGAGCAATTCCTGCCATTACAGGAGCTTAAGCTGTCATGTAAGACGTATGGGTGGTGGATTCCCCACTTCGGTAATTATCATATATGTATAATTAAATCTATATTAAAATACCCAAAACTACATATATAATATGTAAGAAGGCTCTAGTCGAGACTGCTCGACTAGGATATACCCTGAACCCTCTAAGTTGATATTCTACTCATTCTGTATTTCCTTTATGCATACACACGCATCCACACGCACCTATAAACATTTGCTCTGCTGACTGCGCAGTTAGCAGCGACTGCGCTTTGGCTGCGCTGCAGTGTGGGCAATATTATGAGAATTTATTTGTTGAATAATTATTTTTGTAGACATACAATCTTAATGAAGCTTTCAGAGCGTGATCATATGGCTAAAATGTGTGTACATTCCAAAGCACAAGTCTCTAGTACTTGAATTTTTTTTACAATTTGGGGGCGAATGGGGCGTGGTATCCAAAATCTGTAAATAACAAAATCTTCGTATCGATCACAGTAAATCTGAAGTCTCTAGGCCTAAAAACGTTTAAATTAGACTGAAAAAACAAAATCAAATTTTCGATTAATCGCGATAAAAAAGTTATTGGATGAGTTATCGAACAAAAATGATGAACTTGTACTGCGTATGGTACATGCGAGTGTGCATGCCAAATTTCAGCTCTCTAGCTCTTATAACTTCTGAGATCGACGATTTCAAACGGACGGACGGACAGACGGACAGGGCTATATCGACTCAGTTCGTCGTGCTGAGCAAAAATATATATACTTTATGGGGTCTGCGATGACTCCTTCTGCCCGTTTTACTTTTTCACAAAACCATTATACTCTGATATTCCATTTTCAATGGGTTCAGGGTATAATAACAGTATGCAATGATTTAAGCATACTTATGCCTAAGAGAGAGAAACCTCTAATATCATACTCCAATTTATATGAAATTGAACTGCATATTCAATCACATTTCACATTCCACACTGTGCTAAAAGTCCAATTGAATTTTCAAATTCTTTCAATTAGGCAGCTCGCTTAATAGCCATTTGGCTATCAGCAGCAGCAGAGCTCGGGCATCTGTAGCCAATCGTGGTCCTAAACGTATACTCGCGGCATAGGGTTCAATAGGTCTTGATGCCACTCAACGTGGCCCCATCTATCGCTTTCACCTCTATACCCTCACTACTCTAAATGTTAACATGCCCTGGCTCATTCTCTCGGTGCTCTGTACGCCGTGCATGTGCTGAGCGCTAAGCAGATTAGCAAAGTTTGTAATTACGTTGGTAATTGATTAGGTTCGAACAACAAACTGCTAATAAGATTATTGCAGTCGAGAGCAAACCGAGCTGAAAAAACAACTTCAGCCCAGAACAGACTCCCAATCAAATAGAGCAACAACGATAACAACAACAACAATAGCAACAAGCCCAAAAACCGAACACGCAACAAAATTCGAAGCGATTTGTGGCACAAGTTTTGCATGGAGCATCCCGCACGATGTTGCCTCGCGCTGAGCTCTTAGTCAGCTCTCCCTCTCTGTCACTCCCTCACTCGCTCTGACTCGTTCCCACGCTTGTTTGCACAATTTGTGGCTGGAGAGGAGGGGGAGAGGTGGGGCTCTGGGCTTGGGGTAAGCTCACGCAAGCCGGAAGAACAACAATCGACCGCCGAAATAACAATGGCTTTGGCGCGTTTGCCAGTTTTGGCATTGGGCGTATTGTTAATGGCATTGCATGCAAACACACACACACACGCACATACATACTGAGATAGATATATACACACACACAAGACAAACAATTTAGTGGCATTGCAACGTGGGCAAACAATCAGCGCTACGTCTGAGGCACACTTGCCACCCATTGGCTGAGGTTGAAGATGGGGCCAGTGTCCACTGTGGTGTTTCTTTGCCCGCCAAGCGGAAGCGGAAGTGCATGACCAGCTGCATGGCTATACGAGTGTTTGTATGTGTGTGTGTGTGTGTGTGTGTGTGTGTGTGCGTGAGATAAATGCCTGCCACGGCGCAATGCAAAGCCGCAAGGATATCAGTCGTTGTCATTGTCGGCAGTGCGGGGCTCCGCTCAGCTCGGCTGCCGATCGGCTTTCAGTTGCTGATTAAAATCGAGGCCCATTGGCTGCATGTCCTGCCAGCCAGCGCAGCCATCGATCACACTCAAAATGACGCTCAAATAACCCACACCCGCACACACACATTCACGCACACCCACACACATATGCACAAAGTGAATTTGATTTTGAGCGGCAGCTGAGCACAAAGAGAGCAGCAGAAGATGGGGGTAAAAAAAAAAATGAAAAGGATGCAAACCGTTTGGGAATAGCTGCAATTTTGCACGTGAACACGCTCGTCCTTCGCTTTTGGGCTCGTCCTGCTGCGCTATGCTGCCATATCACTTCCAGTTCACTTGACATATATGCAGCAGCAGGTTCGGCTGGGCGGGGGCCTGGCCAGGGCGTGGCAGCATCGGCTCGCATTGCCCGCCATGTTCGCTTCGCTGCCAGCGTTCAGCTGCAGTTCGTGAGTTTTTAGCTTGTCTTTTCTTTTTTTTCAGCTTTCTTTTTGTTGCCGTTG